ACCCTGAAATTGAAGTGGATGATACCACGTTGGAGGATTCCATAAGTGAACAGAATTTGGAGAATGGTTCGTCTGTCTACGGTGATGCATCCAGCGGAGAAGAAGATTTCATCGGACTTCCACGGCAATCAAGTCGGTGTAACAAGGGCGCTCCTCCCAAAATGTATGGTGAAGGAGCCAATTTGACATCTTGTGAAAAGGCTGAACCATCATGCTTTCAGGATGCGAAGAAACGAAGCGCTAAGAACCTTTGGATGGCAGCAATGAAGGATAAAATTGAATCACATCAAACAAACAAGACGTGGGAGTTAGTTGAGCCGCCGTCTAACAGAAAAATCGTTGGGTGCAGATGGGTATACAAATTGAAGCTGGTTGCTTGTGATGATGCGACAATAATTACTAAAATCCACATGGAACTGAAAAAAACATTTCGAGATAACGGAGCTTGGTAATCTTCGATTGGGAATGGAAATTGAGGCAGATCATGGTCGATACTCTATCAACCTTCGTGGATACATCGAAAATCTTGCTGAAAAATACGGTCTTCAAAATGCGAAACCTGTGAAAAGTCCGATAGATCCTGGTTATGTAAAGGAAGCTGGAAAGAGCAAACCACTCGAGGAAGAAACTCAGTATAGGAGCCTGGTTGGTGCGCTTTTGTATGTGGCTGTAAATTGCCGTCCAGATATCGCTGCTAGTATGTCCAACAATCAATACGAAACTAACGATTTTCAATTGGCTCACCACTTTAGTAGCCTATTGGTCCCAAGCAAACGAATAACGTACCCTATTCTAGTTGAAATTCTATTACTACACTATGTTTGTTTTGATTCGCTATGAAAGTTTGACAGATAACATCAGGGGTGTGTGGATTCATGCAGAACATGCAGGGGTGAGTGAAATAGCTTGGGACTGCTTGGGACCGTTGTTCTGGTACTGAGTGAGCCAAAAATAATAATGATTTTCTTCGGGACCCAGTGGTCTTAGAGTTACCTCTATGGTATGTCTATCCTCAGCCAAAATGTGAGCTGTCCGAATGAAGCGGATTGGGCTGCTGCAAAACGCGTCTTGACGAACCTGTATTTTTCTCGTGACTGGAAGTTGACGTTTGGTAGTGAAAAACAAGGCCTTCTTGTTTTGCTGATGCAGATTGGGCGGGCGACCCGAACAATAAGTGGATTTGTATTTTTGTACGGTAACGGTGCTGTTTCCTGGTGTAGCCGCAAACAAAGTTGTGTATCCCTCTCATCAATGGGAGCCGAATACATTGCCCTTAGCGAAGCCTGCCAAGAATTCATTTGGCTCCGTCAGTTGCTTGGGGACTTTGGTGAGAAGCCTGATGAAGCAACTGTTATCAACGAAGATAATCAGGGATGTATAAGTTTTGTCAACACAGAACGAAGTTCGAGACGATCAAAACACATTGAAACGCGCCAGTGCTTTGTGAAGAATCTATGTGATCGTGGTGAGGTGATACTTAAATATTTTCCAACGGAGGAGAATATTGCGGATCTGTTAACAAAGCCCCTGGGAACACAGAGATTGCAACTGTTAAGTGGCAACCTTGGATTATCATCAAAGGCAGAATCAACCGATAGTCGCTGAGGAGGAGTGATGGAAAGTACAGCGTACATCGGTACACCCCCCGTATACTGCCAACTATTAATTGCGTGCATCTAAAAGTACGCGACACAGCAGAGAGCTCTCGAACTGCAAATCTCCATTTTGTTATTTTTATAATGTGTGAACCTTCAACCTGTAAACATTGTTGCAATACATAAGTTTAATTTACTCTACTAACTGTTGTGTTTTAGTTCTGCGGTTCATCAGCATGCTCAGTTTCTATGATTCTTGCGTGTTCATTACCGCTGGGAGATAACATTAAAACAAATATATCATATTAACAATATGATCCATTCATGCCTTTTCCAAATATTGCAATGGCCACCCGCAAAATATCGCTTCACGCACCATCTAGCGTTGAAAGAGGTAAGCAACAATCATTCAATTACAGTCGAGGGGTGCGAATATAGCACTTATTACAAAAGTAAGAGTCACATTATTTTCATTTATGATATTGTGTATTGCTGATTGCATCTGAAACTGGACTGTCCCAAAAATGCAAAAAGTGTGATTAAAGTGCACGTTACTGTCAAATCGTTTTGATGTCTTCGGAGCACTTATTGCTAGCATCATAAGGAATAAGTGCACCGAAGACACCAAGACGATTAGACGTGAACTTGCAATTTTATCACACTTTTTAATAAGTGAAAACACGCTTATTAGTCCAATTTGGTGTGAAATGCGCAATATATTACTTTAATATTTGTCTGACATGTCACTGTTGTCATCAAATAAAATAATATGCTGAAATACACGGTAAGAAAAAAGTTCCCAACGGCCAGATCACTTTTACCTACTTTTGACTAGTTTGTCTCATTTTCTCCTTCTAATGTTGTCAAAAACAGAGGAACAAAACCACCCAACAGGGGTAGTAAAGTGTGGGAACTCAACGTTGCGTATAATCATGTTTACCTACTTTTGGGTACAACTAACTTACTTTTGGGTAGAAAGCGAGTGGAAAATTCCATACGAATTGCACACAAGTAAATGAAAACTACTTTGACCCGATTTACCTACTTTTGGGTTCCTGCACTATAGTGCCGAGACGAGTGAAAGGAACTTACTTTTGGGTACTTTTTTCTTACCGTGTACATTCATTTGAAATATTAAAAAAAATCATTTGGTTTACCCCTCGTGACGATAAACAAATACATTGGTAGCCTTTTTGGCCACAGAGGTTGTTAAGAGAGAAAATCTACATTACAGAATCCTACTATTGCTGCCAACACGGTACCGTAAAGGTTGGAACCTCACAAATACCAATGTATCTTTTGGAGAATAAAAAATCATATCTTTTGTTGAACTCGCTAGTATCGGACGCGTTTTATTTTCGTTCTCGAGTATCCAACCGAAAAATACAGTCCGCTCGGTTTATTGAAGGAACATTTTTTGGTCCTTCGAACCAGATATCGTGAAAAGTAGTGGAAATCGCGTGGCGAAGTGCTTTTCCGCGAAATTTCGTAGAAATTGAGCATTCATCAGAACCGCTGGTTGAATGCAGTGACGCGCTATTTAAAATGGCCGTCGCTCGTGAATGAGTAAACTTGCCGTGTCAAGTTTACGCTGTAAACATCACCGAAACCAAACAAAAGCAGAAACAGGATCAAACGAAAATGGAGGAACAGCTGCGAACTCTCACTCATCAGAGAGGGGCAGTGAAGGGCAAATTAACGCGTGTTAAAAGTGCCATTCAACATAGTGACGATGCACCGAATACGAACATTCGAAACTTGCACTATCTTCGGCTGCATCAAAAAACAGTTGACCAGGCATACAGTGAATATAATGACTTTCAGAACCTCATTTATGCCCTGCCCCTTTCTGAAGAGCGACGAGCAGAGCAGGTAGCGAAATACATCGAATTCGAGACGATGTACAACGACTTGTCGATCCGGTTGAGTATGCTGACAGAGGAGGCTACAAAGGAAGCTGACACGAAGAAAGAAATTGTGGCTATGACACCCGCTTCGATGACATTTGGATCAACTTTGCCATTCCTCTCTCCACTTCAAGCGCCGTTACCGACCTTTGATGGGTCGTACGAACGATGGTTTTCGTTTAAATCCATGTTCAATACCATCATGGATCGATACACACATGAGGAGCCGGCCATAAAGCTTTACCATCTCCGTAATTCACTTGTTGGTCCGGTTGCAGGAATCATAGACCAGGACATCGTTAACAATAACGACTACGATGCTGCCTGGCGATTCCTCACGGAGAGATTCGAAGACAAGAGACTTATCATAGACAAGTACATCGAGTGTTTGTTCAATTTGCCGAATATCGTAAAGGACAACTCGGTAAACCTCCGAAAGTTGCTGGACGTGTGCAACAAGAACATCGAAGCACTGAAGAACTTGAACCTTCAACTGGAAGGGCTCGGCGAGCAAATGGTGGTGAACATGATTTCGTCGCGAATGGATAAAGCTACGAGAGTCGCCTGGGAGACTCGTCAGAAACCGGGAATTCTGCCCAGTTATACGGCGACGATGACGTTCCTACAAGAGCAGTGCAGAATTATTGAAAAAATTGAAACGAGCAACAAAGTGGAAAGTGTGAAGCCGAAAGCGGTGGCGAAGGCCCACACGCTAGTGAATATAAATGAACAGAAGAATGAAACAAAACATGAACTGAAGTGTGCTGTAGGCAAAAACAACCACGAACTATGGAAATGCGAAAACTTTAAGAAGATGAATGTGAGTGATAAATACAATATGCTGAAGAAGTCGGGATGCTGCTTCAACTGCCTGCAGAAAGGCCACCGAACTAACGGATGTACTTCGACGCATAACTGCCGTGAGTGTGGTAAACGCCACCATACGTCACTCCATATTAGTGAAGGTTCCAGCTCCAAGTCAGCAGATTCGATCGCAGCCACACAGTGCACTACCAGTGATGACGCACATCCACCTCGCAAGGAATCCAATTCGTGTAATCTTGTTGAAGCATCTCGATCCGGCACCGCTACAACACTGTGTGCTAGTGTGGGAAGTCTAGTGAAGCAAACGTTGCTGTCTACCGCAGTGGTGCAAATCCGTGGATCAAATTCCGCTGTTTATCCCTGCAGAATTCTACTAGACTCCGCTTCCCAAGTCCATTTCGCCACGGAGCGTTTTGTCAATTTGGTTGCCACGAAGAAGGAACCTGTCGACTAAACAGTCAGCGGTCTCAACGGGACTAACACCAGACTTCGTCATAGGGTGCACATGACAATCGAATCCTGTATCGGAGATTTTTCTGTTGATTTAGAATTCCTCGTCGCTCCGCGGATTACGGGTGACATCCCTCAACGGTCATTCAGTGCATCGGAGTGGTCCATCCCTACCGATTTCAAATTAGCTGATCCAGAGTTTCATACTAGAGGACGCATCGATATGCTTGTTGGTGCAGAAATTTTCTGGGATGTAGTGAAGGGAGACCAGATCAAGCTAGGATCGAACCTACCAGTGCTCACTAACACGGAATTCGGTTGGGTGGCTGGAGGTATCATTTCGACTGATGTACCAGTGATCGCTAAATCTTTCTGCCAAATTGCCGACGAAGATTTGAGTGAACTTCTACGAAGCTTCTATAAACTGGAAGCTTGCGATGAGATCCAGTACTCGAACAAAGCAGCTGATGATCGCTGCTTGGAACATTTCCGTGACACCCACCAACGAGATCAGGAAGGAAGGTATTACGTACGGCACCCGTTCAACGACATGATAAACGAACTCGGTGAATCCCGAACAATGGCAACGAGAAGGTTTCTTTCTTTGGAGCGACGGCTGGACAGGGAACCAGAAATCAAGCAGCAGTATGCCTGTTTTATGCATGAGTACGAAGACCTCGGTCACATGAGAGCCATCACCGTCGACGATAGCGAAGCGTCCAATACCGTTTACTACATACCTCACCACTGTGTAGTAAAACACACAAGTACGTCTACAAAATTGAGGGTCGTGTTTGACGGGTCTGCACCGTCATCATCAGGAGTGGCCATCAACGATGCTCTACTGACGGGGCCAAACGTTCAAAATGATTTGTTTTGCATTCTATTGAACTATCGCAGCTACAGGTACGTGTTCACGGTAGACGCTGTCAAAATGTTTCGTCAGGTCGGAGTCCTCCCTCCGGATACAGCATACCAACGAATAGTATACCGCTATGATCGGAACGAGCCACTGACGGTGTATGAGCTTTCGACAGTAACATATGGCTTGGCATCATCTCCTTTTCAAGCCACTATGGCACTTCGACAGACTTCGGAAGATCACCAGCACGAATTTCCTCAAGCATCGAAGGTAATCAAGAAGAGTGCCTACATGGACGACGTGATTGCAGGTGCGCACAGTATCCAGGATGCATGCGCACTTCAGCAGGAAGTTAGTGGATTATTGGCGAAAGGTTGTTTCGAGACTCATAAGTGGTGTGCGAACCACTCGGAAATATTGCAGCATGTTGACAAGGAATCTTGTGGTACGAATTTCAATGTGGGTGACATCAACTCGAACATCATAAAGACCTTAGGCGTTGTCTGGAATCCGCTTGACGATTGGTTTTCGTTCTCTGTCGAACCTGGTAATCCTGAAGCTACAACGAAAAGAAAAATTCTCAGTGAAGTTGCCAAGATATATGATTTGCTTGGAATAGTTGGCCCGATTGTTACTGCAGCGAAATTGATTCTTCGGGAGGTCAGTGTGCTTGCGGTGGATTGGGATGACCCTGTCCCACATAATATTGTGCTTAAGTGGCAGTATTTTCGTGACGAGTTGATTTGACTGAACGAATTGCGTGTACCAAGGTGGATCTCAACAGCTGATGCGATGTCCGTGCAACTGCAGGGTTTCTCCGACGCCTCCGACGTGGCTTACGGGGCGTGTCTCTATTCACGAGTTATCCACCAGAACGGTTCAGTCACGATGCATCTAATCTGCAGCAAATCACGGATTCTTCTAAAAAAGTCTGGCAAGTGCAAGCCAATTACTACTCCTCGAGCCGAGCTGCTTGGTGCGGTGTTGCTGTCAAAATTAGTTGAAAAAGCGATTGCTGCGATTGATATTGATTTCGAGTCCGTAAATCTGTGGACCGATTCCCAGATTGTTTATTGTTGGATACGGAAACCACCGGAGGTACTACAGCTGTATGTTTCGAACAGAGTGACCGAAATTCAACGAATTACAGGTGCGTATAAGTGGCGATACGTTCCGAGTCAACAAAACCCAGCGGATATTATTTCGCGTGGAGAATTTCCCCGTAAATTGTTAGCTAACACGATGTGGTGGGACGGTCCACCCATGCTGAAGGTGACAACGATTGAAGAAGTGCACCCAGCGCCTTTGCCGGATGAAAATTTACCCGAAATGAAAGCTGGTGTCTCGTTGGCTGTTACTTCTCCTGTGAAACGATTGTTGATTTTCGACAGAGCAAATGATTATGACAGGATTCTACGAGCTATGGCCTACTTGATTCGATTCGCGAAATACTTTACCAGCAGAAAGAAGATGATCGTCAGAGGACCGCTAACCGTTCCAGAACTACGGGCTGCGCTGGCGGTAACAGTGAGGTGTGTTCAGATGGAAATGTTCCATCACGAGTTACGAGTAATTACTGAAGGAAGGCAAACTAAACACCGTCTGTGTGGCTTGAAACCGTTCATCGATTCGCAAGATGGGATTATGCGTGTGGGAGGTAGAATCAAAAATGCTCTCATACCATATGACAGTCGACACCAAATGTTATTACCTGCCGGACATCCGTTTTCGGTAGCAGTTGTGAAGAATTTGCACCGGTCAAACTTGCATATTGGACAAAAGGGTCTACTTGCAATGGTTCGTCAGCGATTTTGGCCACTGAGAGTCAAATCAACGATCCGGAAAATCATCGGTAGCTGCATTACTTGCTTCAGAGCGAATCCACTGAAAACGTCCCAGCTGATGGGTGATCTGCCTTCATACCGAGTCCAACCGGCGCCAGCCTTTGCTTATACTGGTGTGGACTACGCTGGCCCTTTTTTGATAAAGTCGTTCACTGCTGGTCGCAGGCCGTTAGTAACCAAAGCCTACGTTTGTTTGTTCGTTTGTATGGTGACGCGAGCAATACATGTGGAGCTTGTGTCCGACTTGACCACTGATGCATTTTTAGCTGCCTTGCGGCGATTCACTAGCCGGCGAGGGCTGCCATGTAAGATGTATTCCGACAATGCAACGAATTTTGTCGGAGCTCAAAATGAACTTGAGGAGCTAGCGCGGCTTTTTAACGATCAACAGCAGTCCAAGAAGATAACGGATTATTGCACCAATCAAGGAATTGAATGGTCTTTCATACCACCACGAAGCCCTCACTTCGGTGGTATCTGGGAGGCTGGAGCGAAGCAGGTAAAGCACCATCTGACGCGGATTGTCGGCGGTTGTAAGCTGTCGTACGAAGAGTTATACACCACATTGACCCAAATTGAAGCTGTGCTGAACTCGCGGCCATTGGCGCCGTGTTTTGACGATCCGTGTGATCTATCTGCGATTACCCCTGCACATTTTCTAATTGGTCGAGAGATGCAGGCAGTTCCTGAACCGTCTTATCTGGATCTAAAACAGTCAACGCTTTCACGATGGCAACTTGTCCAGACAATATTTCAACATTTCTGGAGAAGATGGACGGCTGAATATCTACCCGAGCTGCAAAACCGATCGAAGTGGACAAAGACGATCAACATTACCAAAGGATCCCTGGTGTTGGTAATCGATCAAAATGTGCCACCCTTCCAGTGGCCGCTTGGGCGAGTGAAGGAGTTACACCCTGGTAAGGATGGCGTGGGGCCTCCCTTAGCTCAGTCGGTAGAGGCGCAGCTACAAAGCAAGACCATGCTGGAGGTGGCTGGGTTCGATTCCCGGTCCCGTCTAGGAATTTTTCGGGTTGGAAAATTTCTCGACTTCCCTGGGCATAGAAGTATGATTGGACTTGCCACACAATTATACCAATGCAAAAATGGTACAGGCATCGAAAGCTCTCAATTAATAACTGTGGAAGTGCATCTAGAACACTAAGTTGAGAGCACGCAATAAGCTAATATGCGATATGCAATAAGCTTGAAATGCGAAGAAGAAGAAGAAAGAAGAAGAAGGATGGCGTGACCCGGGTTGTTACTGTGAAGACTTCAAAGGGGGAATATAAGCGTGCTATAACGGAGATATGTCTACTGCCTCTAGATGGCCAAATGGATTGAAATTACCCATTTCAACGCCAGGAGGATGTTAAGAGAGAAAATCTACATTACAGAATCCTACTATTGCTGCCAACACTGTACCGTAAAGGTTGGAACCTCACAAATACCAATGTATCTTTTGGAGAATAAAAAATCATATCTTTTGTTGAACTCGCTAGTATCGGACGCGTTTTATTTTCGTTCTCGAGTATCCAACCGAAAAATACAGTCCGCTCGGTTTATTGAAGGAACAGAGGTGCTTTCATGATTTGCAAAGGTTCAATTGAGATTGTTCATAACTTGTAGTCGTTATCAATTAATTTCATCTTCTCGTTATACTTCTGAAAAATGCATCAAACTAGTCTTGATAATTCATTTTTGATACTTGGTAATGATCTAGTCTAGCTAATTTGCATGAAAACTACAGCTTTACAGCCTTAAACCTTAAATTTGACAGATATAAAATTTTCAAATAAACCTGCTATTGTACCAGACTTATTTCTGGCAGACCAGGAATTAATTTTGACAAACACCTTCTCAAAAATCACACGAAATGTAAAATTTAAGTAAAAATTCAGAAAAATGGAACGCAGCCTGATTCTGTGTTATGTACATTTGATGCATTTTCACGAAAATAAATTATAATGTTTGAAGCTCCCTCTGTTATTGATCGTCTGACTTTCGAAAAATTATTTATCAAATTTGATTCCTGGGTTGTCTGAAATAAGTAAGTTTATTTGAAAATTTTCCATCTGTCAAATTTAAGTGAAAATTCACCAAATGGATCGCAGCCTAAATGAAGGGGGGTGACTGCTGTAGTATACTCCTAGTCCCACCATCGAATGTCATTTGCAAGATACAAAAAAGTTCTGCAAGCAACACTATTTGAAAACAATTTTATGAATATGTTACTGGAAAAAATGCAAGGATCAAATAGGAGGACATTTCCGGGCAAAAGGAGGACGTAGAAAAATTATTGAAAAAGTAGGACATGTCTCCTTTAAGATACCATATGGTAACCCTAACAGGGGTAGCGAAAAATTGGTTGGATTTGACAGTTCCAAATTGGTTCGATGCTGGGTGTGGTAGATATGGTTGATTTGAATCAATAATACTAATAATAATAATAATAATAATAATAGGGAAGGAGGGGCATAGTGAGCATCCCATAGTTTGGCCCTGGATCTCTAGCTGCATGAAACAAACCAACTGGCAGTATGTTCAATATAATTATGATATTGATCCTACCACCAACCAATTTGTTCCGAACGGCCGGAAGTCCAAGCTGGTGCACGGGATGCTCACTATGCCCCTCCTACCCCTACAATATAAGGATTTCCATTATAATGACAACAGCATGTATTTCAAAATAAGCGGTGCCGGTGGTGTAGTGGTAAGCGTGATTGCCTCTCACCCCAGCAGGTTTGGGTTCAATCCCAGTCGGCGCCGCCGGGATGTTCTGAGGCATAACATCTCTGATCACGCCTTCCTTCGGAAGGGAAGTAAAGCCGTTACCCCGGTTCATGAGTTGATGGGCCGATAACTATTTATTTCCATTTCGTCAAGCCAGTGTAGACTACATACAATGATTATTACAATGTTTACTTACATACTATGCATTAATTCTATTCTGTTTTAGCTTAGTTTTTATTTGCTGCTTGGACATAGTGATGTCAATAGTTCCGCAATACAAATTATATTAGCGCATCATTCGATTGATTGGGCTATTTTTTGCATAGTTTGTTCTGTACGATGTTTCTGAAAATAAATTCCGTGTTCTAAGATATCGACAAGGTGTGTAAAATTTTAATTGTGCGAGAATTTCTGTCGAATCTATGCGCATTGAAATAATGTCGTTGATGAAGAAAAGCATTGCAAATTGGCGGTGCTCCTTAAGGGGAAGCTCACCGGCCCAAAAATAAAAAAAATATTTTCGGTACGTTTTTATTTTTCTAAAAATATTGGGAAAAATTATCAAAAATCCAAGAAAATCAGTTTCTTCCTTAGATTTTTGTCAAAAATTACATGCAAAAAAAAATTTTCTATCCCATCATGAAAAAAAATTGGACTCTCAGAAAAACCGAAAAGTTGATGTTTTGTGGTTTTTTGAGTCCAACTTTATGCCATAATGACTTATAAAAAATGTTTTTGCACGTGAATTTTCTTTGAAAAATTAAAAAATATGTGATTTTCTTTGAATTTTGATATCTTTTTCCAATATTTTTAGAAAAATCAAAACGTAATTATTTTTTTCGGAGCGGTGAGCTTCCCCTTAAGTGTTTGTATATTGATGAGCATGCAGCGCGCTTCATAAGATGGTAATAGAAATGCAGTCCAATTCAATTTACGTAAAGCATATAAAAGGAATTGTTTTTGGACAGATTCTATGCGTTCTTCGTGTATGGAAATGTATGGATTCCAGAATTGGCCTTACATATGTGGTATATAAAAGCTTAATAGTGTATGGGTCTTCGAAATTATGACTGAACCTTTTGATGAAGCCTAGCATTCTGTTTGCTTTACTAATAATAGTATTATAATGTTCTATAAAACTTAGTTTGGAGTCTAGGATTACACCTAGATCTCTTACAATTTTGCTTTTTTCTACTATTTGTTTGCCTAATGATATTTGAATATGCGGTGTTTAAATTTTTCTGCTAAATGCTACTGCAGTACATTTTTTTACGTTCAGTTGAAGTAGACTTTTACTACACCAGGTGTGGAATATATT